TAAATTTTTTAAAAAAAATAAAATCAATAAAATAATAATATAATTTTAATAATATTAATATTTATAATAATTTTTATTAATAGATTTAATATATTTTAAAATTTATATTAATTATTATTAAATTATTATATTATTTTATATATATTGGATATAAAAGATTGTTTTTATCTCAAAAATATTATTCTATTAATATTTAATTTTTATAACTTTAATTTTAGTAACGTTATTAAAAACCTAATAATTTTATAAAATTTAAATAAAGATATATTAATAAAAATTAATAAAAAGAATATATTAATATATTATTAAATAATAATTTTTATTAGAAATATATTATAATAGATAAAAAATTATAAAATTAAAAACCTTAAAATTTATAAATTTTATTGGTTTTATTTTATTATTATCGGTTTAAAAATATACAAAAATGTAATATTAAATATTATTTTCAATTATATAAAAAATAACCGTTTTTATTATCAATTTAAATAAATATAATAAATTATAATTATATTAAAAAATATTTAAAAAATAGTATATAAAATTTAATAAAATATAATAAACTTAAATTTAACGTTAAAAATTATTTTATTAATTTTTAATATTATTATAATATAATTGGTTAATTTATACCATTTTAAATTTAATAACTTATTTAACCTAACACATTTTTTATTTAAAAATTTAATTTTTACTCTTAAATTAATAAATAAATATATATTAAAATTTAAGATTTTTCAATTTTCACTTAAAACATATTAATTTTAATTTCTAAAATATCATTTTTAAAACTATAAGATAGCAACGCATATTATATAGGATATAAATATTCCAATATTTTTTAAGTAATAGTTATAAATTAAATATATAAAATTAAATTTTATAATAATAACAAAAAAATTTAACAACAATTTTATATTATTTATTATTATAATATATATATATATAACCAAAAATATAACTATTTTAATAAATTATAATACCCTTAAAAAAATATATAACAATCTCTAAATTATTATTATAAATAATTATAAAATATTTAATAACTTATATTATTATACATTTATAATAATAAAGTTTTAAACAAAGTTTTAAATAAAATTTTAAACTAATAATATTATATCCCAAACTATATTTAATATAACTATACCAAATAATAATAAAAACGTTAATATATTTAAACTTAATATTATTATTAACCTTTTAAATATAAATAATATATAATAACCTAATATATATATTATAAAATATTTTCTAAATTTTATTATAAAATATTTAATAATAGTTAATTATAATATTATAATAAAAAAAAATTTATATTAATAAAATTAATTTCTTTTATTTTTTTTCTTTTTTTTTTATTAATAAAATCTATTAATTATTTAATTTTTAATTTAAATAATTTAAATCTTATATTTATAAAATAAATTTTTTTAATATAAAAAAAATATTATTAATAAAATTAAATAATAAATTAATAATTTAATTAATATTTCAAAATATTTTTAAATATAATAATTTTAAGTTAATATTTAATATATAAAAATTATATATAATTTATTTTAATTTATTTTATTATATATTTATTTAAATAAATAAGAATAAATTAAATATATTATAAGAATAAAGAAAATATATATAAGATATAACCCATTTTAATAATATATCTTATAAATATCTTTATATAATTAATAGTATCCAATTTAGAAAAATTATAAAAATATTATATATTTTATAAAATAATAATTTATTATTTATTAAAAATTCTTAGGTTTTTTTTTAATTCTTCTGTTTTTTAAAATAAATATATTATAATAATTATAAATATAATAATTTTTATTTTAAAAAGTTTAATATAAAAACTTTAATTAAATAGTTTTAAAAATTAGAATTTAATATATATTAATATATATATTTTGTTTTATTTATATTTATTATTTAAATAAAATATTAACCTTTTATATTATTTTTATAAATATAATAATAAATATTTTATTTTTAACTAAAAAGATTTCATTTAATTTTATAATAATAAATTTAAATATATTAATTATATCTTATTTTTCAATATTTAGAATATATTATATATATTTATTATTATAATATTAATAAAAAAAACTAACCTATTAAATCCTATCTTTAAACTATCCATTTTAACTAAAATTAATAACTATTTTTTTATAATTAATATTATTATAATTAATCCAATAAAACTATATATTATTCCAATTAATAAAAAATATTTTTTTATTAATTAAAAGATTAAATATATTTAAATTATTATAAATATTAAAATAATATATTTATATTATAAAGAAATTTAAAACTAACTATATATATAATACCTCAAAATATAAACTATTATAAAACCTTTTTTAACGTAAATAAATCTATTAAATATTATTAACTTACTTAAATACTTATAATATATAAATATTTTCAATATTAATACCTACCTATTTAAATATCTCTTACTTATATATTTTAATTTTAATTAATATTTAATATTAAAACAAAATTTTACCAAAATATTTATACTTTATACCATTTCGTAAAATATATTAATAAAATAAAAAAATTATAAAATATATTACATAAATTATATAATGTATAAATAATTTATATAATTAAAATATATTTCAAATCATTTAATAATAACATAATAAAATAATATTATTAATTAATATAATATATAAAAACTATATATTATTAATAATTATATAATTAATATTATATATAATAATAATTATAATAAAAAATTAAAACATTAAAAATATCTATTATATTTTTAATAATATATATTATTAAAATATTAATAATATTTTAAAAATAATAATATTTTAAATAATAATAATATTTTAAATAATAATAATATCTTAAATAATAATAATATCTTAAATAATAATAATATTTTAAATAATAATAATTTTTTAAATAATAATAATATTTAAAATAATTATAATATTTAATATAATAATTATATTATATACAACGCTTAACCTATCCATAACGTTTAACCTATCCGCAACGTTTAATTTATTTGCAACGTTTATTTTATATTTAACAATTAACAAATAATCAAACGTTATTATATAACGCAACCATTTTTATAACACAACCATTTTTACATTTACAATAGATTTTTTATAAACAATATATAATATATATATAATAGGCAGTTTATAATTAGATATTATTATAAAGGGCAGAGATTTCTTATGTAACATTTGTTACACAGGACCGGATAGCCCTGCTACGGTAGGTACTCATAGTACGACAGTGCAGCTCATCTGAACCCCCACCATTTCCCGCGTCTTATCAACAAGGCATTAAACATTAAACTTGTTATTCTCTTCTATATTATCGACTTAAAGTTAGACACGCAAATAAGAGATTCGTCCAGTCTAATATATTTCAATTTCTTTCTATTCTCATTATTTCCTCAATTACCTATCATGATCTTTTCGAGGCATGCAAATAAGTGCATCTTTGGAATATAGGGTCTATTACTTACATACATGTAGGTATGGTATCATGGTAGTTATCTAGTTATAGTATCTATCTTGACTTGTCTGCTCATCTAAACGGTGCCTAGTCTTGCTAGTGCAGATCTTCCTCCACCTGACCTAAAGTATTGGATGTACTCTCTTCTACCTATGATTGTCCTATTTTATATATCCTACATTACACCTGCTGACCTGGAGGACAAGTCGTGATCGGTCTTAATATTCCAAACTCGATACGGACGTTCACGGCCCAACTTTGACCAACTTTGATCAAAATTTCTGTCTCAAGTGCGCACGCGCACCTAATTACTTTGGTATCGGGATACCTGAGGAATTCGCCTGTTCGCCTACTTCGCGCTAGGGATTATAGGAATTCCCTAAGGTCTCCATAAGGTCCCCTATAAGGAATTATAGTACTTGCATGTACCTCGGTACATATAGCGTAGTTCCTAAACTCTAAGGTGAGGATACCCCGCCCCCTCCATGTCCCTCCATGTCCCTCCATGTGTTATCCGCGCGCCGTAATACGTAAGATGGGTGACTTTTAATTCAGTAAGGCAGCTTCACGCTGTTTTACCTACTTGCTACTTGCCTTACTTGCCTTACAACTTACCTTACTTACAACTTACCTTTTACTTGCCTTACCCATCCAACTACTTACATATTATCCAACATTGAAACTATCACTCAACTACTATTCACAGGTAAATCATTTACTTACTACTCATCCAAAACTAAAACCAAAACCAAAACCAAAACCAAAACCATCCAACCATCTCATCGTCTATCCCACATTCGTCTTCTTATCCCTTCTACCCCCCCATCCTCCCACTTACAAGGCAGCACTTTTACCCCCCCTCGCCGGAACATTTACAGCGTGCGTATTTGTATGTAAATAAATCAATCATATGAAGGAGACAACGTCTCGCCCCGTCTTTCGCTATCGCTGCCTACATTTCCTTACCTTTACACCTAACTTGCCCACTTGCACGTACCGCTCCATTATACTGTTTTATAACTTTTGTCCGGCTTAACCTAGATACCTAACCCTACTTCGCCTGGAGCCTACTCTCCTAAGCCCTGAGCCCTGAGCCCTGAGCCTACATATGTATTCCTCCGACTTTACTTTCCCTTCTTCTCTTTCTTCTTCTAAACAAGGATCAATAACCATCGAGGAACTCTGCTGAACACACGAGATTACTTAGCTGACACTTCCCTTTTTAATTCGTCTAGGTATCTAAGCCCCACGGCCCTTTCTTGTCCAGTATCTTAGGTATATGCAACTTGGACATTTCGACTCCAACCTATCTGGGGTAATTTGGTTGTCTGATACCGATATTCGCACCTTACAACCTCCTCAGGACCCATAATACCTTCTGTTTGCTCGCTTATAGCCTGCCGCGTGTTCTGTCATCCTCTTTTGGTTTACCATTCCGTAACGGTAAACTCGAGGTATGACGTGATCCTGCAAAAGGCGTCTTGTTCTACCGCGTAATGGAACAGCCCGAACCATCAACACCTACCGATATACCGACTGCTGTTCCCCATTCATCTACCGACCCTCCTACCCATCCCACTGCAGCCGGGTCGAGTCAAGCAAACAACCTCGACCATACCTCCAACTCTGTACCCTCACTCCGATTCCCCCGGCCCTTAGGTAACCGGCAGCTTACGAACTGGATCTCGTCCAGCTCTCCCGACATTATGCAGCCAGAAAACTTCCCCGACGATGACCCCAGCCTGGCTGAGCTGGGCTACGACGTCATCGGTACCGATGGCGAAAGCCAGGCCGAGTCTACCGCCAGCTCCCTCGACTATCAAAGGACTGACGATGTTCAGAGCCTAGTTGGTACCGATACCGGCACCGATGTCGATGCCAACGAAGTCGATACCGACTCTTCCGACGATGAAGAGGAGGAGGAGGAGGCTACTACACTAAACGAAACCGCTGTAATCAGCACAGTTAACGACGCCATTGTAGAATATCCCGCTGAGTCCGATGATGAAGATGCCGACGTGGAGACACTCGCGAATCAAAGCCTTGAGCACCCTACAAACTTCTCCCAGCATGGCATCCTAAGTTTACCACGCCGGGCAGAGATCGACCAAAGCCAGGCCCGGGAAGCCCTTGCAGAAATGCACAAGTTACCTTCTCAAGATACAGCACTGGGAAAAGAAGATGATGTACATCTGCTTTCTCCTGAATACGAGGATTCAGAGGATCGTATTTCGGAAAGTTATCGCTCGACACTGAGGTTTATTCAAGGGAATTACCGTATCTTAATTGCCCTGTCCGGATTTGCTGTTTTCTACGGCCTAGTCATCACTGGGAAATATTTCCTGTCTAGCCCACCGACCCCTAAAGTCCTATCTACGGTCCCGGTAGCCTCGATCTCTTCCGCGGCCGTTCTCTCTCCCCTTGGAAATCCCATATCTACTTCTGTATTCACACCAGCTTTAACCAATACTCAAACCCAAAAGGCGTTGCAGACTAGTAGTACTTCGCCAAGTAGCCTTGTTTTGATGTCATTTGGGAAAGATAAGGACCAGACGGACGTCACCAATCAGTCCCAACGACAGACCATCTGTTCAGCAGAACTATATGATCGAAATGAGATCCTAGTAAAGATCCCCCAGAGTATCAAGTCTGCCTGGCTCTCAAAAGACGCCATATTAATTGCCGTAAGTCGGGGCCTGTACGATATCCCAACCAAGGTGGCCTCTGTAGACGAGGGCTTCTTGATCCAGGTACCTCTCGAGGAGGCGTATAATATCCTGGCCGTATCTATTGCCACGACTTCGAAGCCTAAGGTTAAGGAGACCTTTCACGTCGACTTCGGTAGGAACAAATTCATAGATGCTCTTGATGCTGGAAAGCAGCTGGTCAGGGACTTCGCGCAGAAGTTTGTCGACACCGTCAACGAGACAACGGCATGGGTTGAGGAGACCTATATACCGGCTCTGGATGTTATGTCGAAACAAGTCTGCAGTCAAACGTCATCCGTCTCCGACACCTTATTTCAGGGATTTAAAGATGTCGCTAACGCCGTCCTCGGCCTCCCTTCCCATCTTATCTCGCAGATTATTGCCCAGATTAAGGAGTCCTTCGTCAACGACGATCTTACACGACGTCAGCATCAAGCACGGTTAGAGCTTGTGAAAGGGGCTCGAGACCTCCGTGACGAGCTTACGTTACGCTACCTTTCTGCGCAGCTCAGATCCAAGCTCTGGTGGCTTCGAGTACAGGGGAAGACGGATGAATACCAACATTATCTCTCGAAGGCCGAGGCCTACTTAAAAGAGAGGACTGTCGAAGCCAAAGCAGCTAAGCAGGAAAGAGCCGAGTATGTCAAGAAACAGGCACGGTCACGGCAAAAGAATGAACACGAGGAGACGAAAGGCTCTTTCTGGAACAAGCGCACGAGGGCCTCCTGGGCGTAATCCGTTCGTTCTAAACATATTAATTACATGGTAGGCGAGAGTGAACTCAAGGATGGCGTTGGGCTTGGGTGATTTGGTGGTTTTTGCTGGTTATCTTGTCCTCGGTTATCTATCCTGACACCACTGCAGAACAAAGCGGTGCTTCCCTTGAATCCCCGCTTTATCTCTCTTCGACTCGGTTGCTGCGTCGATGATACATGTATACAAGGATGGACTACCGGGAGTATGACAGGATGTTTTATTCCCCCCTTTTCTTCATATTTGAGCGTCAGGGTTACTCGGGGATAACGAAGTTCAGAGGCTATACGTTTTACATGTGTTCTTAGTACCAACCCCATTTGGCATTGTTGCCAGGCGGTGGTGACCCTAATGAGCGGAGGATGACTCGCCATCCGCTCTAGGGATATTGTTGATGGTTACCGGGCATAGAGCTCGAGAGCTATTACTTTGACTTCGTAGTGGTTTGTCAATAAGATAGAACCTGAGGAACCCTAGGTATATGATCAACAAGTAGACCACGGAGAATACATTGCTTTTACGGTTGTAATTATTTCTCAAGTTAGTGTGATAGTATGCAAGGTGATATGTTCTCGTTTCTGAGCTGAGTTCCCGTGGTGAAGATTCATTATTGCTCAACTACTATAATAGTCTTGACTAGGTAGGTACCTAATTTAAAGCAAGCTTTTTCTTTTCTTTCTTTGTTTTATGCTATAAATGATACAGTTCGCTTGCATTTACCTTGACACCTCGTGGTTCTACAGTGTAAGACTATGACTAGGCGAGTCTAAAGAGATATCTAAACGAAGCTGGGTATACGTACCTAGGTACGAATATATGTAAGTCATAGCTCTGTGGGTAGCTACTTTGGAAACCCCAGGACCAATCTTCGCAATATGAAGGGTTACATAAAGAACAACTTAGCTCTTAATCTATGAATTGTGATGTAAATAATAACGAGGCTCTCTTTCGTGGGGTACCCTGATGGTATGTCTCTATGTGACTTGAGTTGCTGTGACTTAGTAACGGTACCTAATATCTTGGTTGTGATATGATTAAGTATATTGATTTCTTTACCTTGCGCTTGTGTATTTGTCTTATTGTTTCAATTATAAGACAGCTATATATTTTATATTACATATATTTGTAATAAGTTTGAAGTTATAAAAAAAAGTAAGTACCTGTTCTCATAGCTGCCAACTGTCCGTCGGTCTGATAAGAGAAATGGGTCTTCGGTGGGGGTTACTTGGTGCCCGACCTTTAGGAAATCACAACTTTGTGGTCCACCATTCAGGGCAGCAGGGGGGAGGGGGGAGGGGAGAGGAAAGAGAGGGCGGACAGGCAGGTATGAGAGCGGGCATTAGGGCGGGGCAAGGGCGAGGGGCAATTCTTCAGATTCCCCACCCCCTCGTTTGTTTTGCAAGATTGTTATTTGATTTAGAACCCGTCAACCACAAGTCTTAACCACAATATTTCAACCTAATACCACATACTACCCAGCTACCACTTAAACTTCTACCCAATCTTCTGGTTGCGCTCTCATACATACATTTTACATAGTAGAAGAGATCGACTGGTACGTGTGCCTTTTTTTTTTTTTTTAATCGTCGTCTACCTGCATATCTTTTTTCTTTGCATCAAATCACTTGCATCGCATCAATCCTTCTAGATCTTGGTACATGAGGTAGGTACCCCTCCTACATACTTTTATGCTTCCTTTGGGAGTGTGACACACTTGTGCACCGACGGTCTATAGCGATGGAGTGGCATGTCTAATATTTTTCTTTTTTTCTTCTCCTTACACCTGTCAGGTCTATTTTCTTCCCAGCCAAGTTACTTGTCTAGACACCTTATTTACTTTTCTTTATTTACCACAATCATCTTCTTCACTAACCCGTCTACAATACATTTGGTATCTGCAATACGACGGGTTAAACTAAGTCTACTTGCTAGTGCTCATTTCCCTTATTCGAAGATCGCCACCATTTGTCGCGAAGGAGAAAAACAAATAAAGGAATCTCGACTCACCTTTTCATCTAGCAATATCCAACATGAGCTCCACCGAGAATACCGAACCCAAGGTCGGCGAGACTAAGCCTGCCGAGATGGCTGAGAGCAAGCCTCTTACTTCATCATCCGTCTTCTCCATGTTTGGCGGCGGCGCAAAGAAAGAGAAGAAGGAGGATGATGATCGTGGTGATGTTTCCGGTAGCGCCAAGGCCCAGCGCGAGGCCGCTGCTGCTGCGAAGGGTGACGACGAGGTATGTATACCATACCCTGTATATCTTGATATACTCTTTTCTGTTTGCCGTGATAAGCGCTGACAAAACTTTTCTGTATAGGAGGAGGTGGCCCCCGATTCGGAGGACGTCCACTTCGAGCCCGTCCACAAGCTCACCGAGAAGATCAAGACAGTAACACACGAGGAGTCTGAGGAGGAGATATTCAACATGCGATGCAAGATGTTTAAATTCACTCAAGACTCTGAGGGTAAGGGTGAATGGAAGGAGCGTGGTACTGGACCCCTCCGCCTACTGAAGCACAAGGAGAACGGCAAGATCCGTCTAGTTATGCGACGAGACAAGACCCTCAAGGTTTGCGCCAACCACTACAGTATGTTTTTTCCATACCCATCACTCTACATATCATAAACTAATAGGGTTGTCTAGTCACCCCCGAGATGACGATCGCTCCAATGTCTACCAGCGACCGTGCCTGGCTCTGGAATGTGGGCGCTGATGTTAGCGAGGGTGAACCCGAGGCTATTACTGTCTCTGTTCGCGTAGCTAATGCTGAGAGTAAGCCGTGGTCATAATCCACACCCGCTATCTAATACTAATGCTTCTCTTAGATGCTCAACTATTTAAGGAAGCCTGGCTCAAGGCCCAAAAGGACAACGAGGTGCTCTTTGCCCAGGCAGCCCAGGCCAAGACCGAGACAGAGGAATCCGAGCCTAAGGCGGAGGAAAAGAAGGAGGAACCCGCTGCTTCCTCGTAATGTACCGGTACTCATGGTGTCAAGGATGGTGTTCGCCCGAAATCCGTTGGGTTGTGGACTTCCAATCACTCATATTCGCTGCACGGTGGATGTATAGAGCAAGTGCTCCGTAGCGGAAGATTTGGAAAGTAGGGCATGTCCTAAAGGATTCACAGAGCAGCGAAGGACGGTAATGATTATGATGGGAGATGAAGAGAGACGCTTAGATAGTGTACGGGTGGATCAAACACCAACTCCCCCAATAACTTAGTCACGACACTTTGTCCCCTGCGAAACACTTCACATTCACAATAAATACAACCCCGATCCCCCCAAAAGATACTACTGATATCGCGAATAGAAGTGTTAATAAGTTTGTAGAGCTGTTGAAGTGATATATATATATATATACCTAACTATGTAGGCTAACTTGTTAGAACTTTGGAAATATTAAGAGACTACCTATCTTGTAGATGTGCAAAATCCAATTTATACTATAACTTAGGTACATACTGTATATTAATAGTGGTTTATTTAAGGTAATGGTATTCCGGGGTTCTCAGTCAATTAAAGAGGTACAGTAGAGCTTTAAATGAGAGATGGGAGGCCACGTGACTTCGCGAAATTATCGACAAGGTGATTTCAAGGTGATTTCAAAGTTATTTCGATGCGACGCGTAATTTTTTAGGCTTCAGCTAATCATTAGCTTTTTTTTAACTCATCACCATTATCTAGATGTACTCGCCACTAAAACCCTTTTAGGCTTGTAATCTACTAAATACGAGTATTCTTTTAGATTTCGAGTCTAGTTTTGATCTCGCACGGTCTGTTTATTGTGTTTGTATTTGTTTGTCCCTACGTCATTTTTTTCCGATATGGAGGGGTGGTGATAGGCCCGTAAACCTCCCGAATACCCCTAAACGTATCGTTTAGCATTGACAGAGATATTTATTATTGATATCTCAAACCCTTCTTCTTAGGCCTACAGTACTAAGAGTCCTCGATATCTTAAGAACGCATCAACTTATCATGGCTCGTAAGAATAAGAATAAGAAACGTCAGACTCAACTTACCTTCGAGTCTACTGGTGCTTCTAGCTCACCGGGTCAAGCTGCACCTGCAAACGTGCGATTTTCTAAAAATACGGGCGCGAGTAGTAGTCCAGGTCGCCCATCTCTAGCGCAAGCAACTCGTTCTTCGGGCCGCTCTAAGAAAAGGCAGAGTAAACTACGAGGTACTGTTGGTATGTATTTGTTACTTTATTTGCTACTTTCTTCTTCTTCTTCTTCTTCTTCTTCTTCTTCTTCTTCTTCTTCTTCTTCTTCTTCTTCTTAGCATATTTTAATTTAAACATGGCTTTGTTACTCAAGAATGGGAGGGTAGTAAATATATTAGTTTGTATTATCTTATTACTCATAAAATACTCATAATTGGATAGGATTATCACAAAATATGACATCGCCAGCTAGGCCGCCCCCAGCGAGTTTTATGCCAAAACTTCATGACTCTAAACGCCTTGTCGTGGGTGATGATTCCGACTCTGAGATTGAAGTGCCAGACCAAGAGGAAGAGGATAACATCCCCGTAAAGTCATCGCAGTCTGTCTCAACTAGACTTCAAAACACCGTCATTGATGACGACGATGATGATGATGATGATGAACCAATCGCTCCTCCCTCTACACTAAAACGTCGACGTCCTCCTGTTATCGCTTTAGATGACGAGGATGAAGATGAGGATGAGGACGACGATGACCGTCCTATTGTCCCCCCTAGCTTGCTGAAACGCCCGCGTCCGAGATTCATCGAACTTGAAGACTCGAGCGACTCGGATGCTTCACCAGTGAAAAAGAGGAAGACATCGGTCTCAACGCCTGGTAGACTTAAGAGACCAACCTCTCTAGCTCCTTCTTCGCCCACGAAACGGGGCGCACCAAAGGGCCATCGTTCTGAAAAGCAGAAGAAGATGGAACTACTTCGCCGCCGAAGAGCTGGCGAGAAGATTGAAAAGCTTACATCTTCAGAAGAAGACTCTGATGAGGAGAAACGTGGACTTTACGACACAGACCCAGAGGAAGAATTCGTTGTCCTAAAGGACTTCGATGACGAGGAGTCAGAAGGTGAAGAGCAAGAAAAGGAGGAAAAGCATACCAAGCGATTACGACGAAAGGAAAAGGAAATTGAGGAGATAAGCCAAGAGGGTAGCCAGGGGGGTGTCGAGGGTCAAGATGGAGACGACGACGACGATAAAGACCTCGAAGATTTCATCTCTGATGACGACGATGCTCCCCTAGGAGCTCCTGCGAACCTGGACATTCCCCTGGAATTCACAGCTCAAGCACATAGGCCATTAAAGGATCAATTCCCATATGTCATCGAATGGCTAGTTCACAACCGTATCAACCCTGCGTTCGAACGCAACGATCCTGTCTACAATAACGCCTGGCGCAAACTGGACGATGAGATCCGCGCCCTCGCATCCTCTAAATTTGCCTCCGCCGCTTGGAAGGCCGAGTTCTACCGTACTCTAAAAGGGAGGCCTAAAATGGAGGCTTACGAGATGGATCGATCCGAAAGAAGCAATGGCCTGTACGATACATGCGACGCCTGCGGTCGAAGCAACCACCCCGCCTCCTTCCGCATTATCTTCCAAGGACACCCATACTACAAAAGCACCCTTGCAGACGTCGAATCTGATACGGAGGATAATGACAGTAATGATGACGAAGACGACGGCAACGAAAGCGATGCCGGTTCCGTCGACACGCAAGGCATGACGCTACCTCCGGTAACCAGAGAATGGCATGTAGGCGTCGTATGCTGTAGTAACGCGGAAACCGCGCACAGTCTCATCCATTGGAAACACGCCCTCAAGGAATGGGTCGAGGAGCGGCTCGAAGATGACGGGTGGATGGCCGCGCACAAGCTTAAGGAGCGCGAGCGCTTGAAAGCTAGGAAGCGCCGCGACCTAGCGAATAGGATCGTTGATGGGTGGCGTGAGAAAGGTATAGTAGCTGCGCTGTACAAGGATTTTAAGAGTACGCTTGAGAGCGCGCGGAACAAGACTACGGGGGGGCGGGGAAGGGGTCGGTTTCGGTAAGGGGTTATCGTGACGGGCAATGAACCTGCTATTGTTTCCTTTTTAAGGTCGAGAGGTCGAGATTGAAGGTTACTGCTGCGAGAGATGTTAAAACCCAGGAAACGACCAGTTGCACTTATACCGCGTGTAAGATTAAGTACTCGACCTCTAGGTGAAAGCCTGCAGGATAGGAAGGACAATCCTCAAGAGCCGCCGAGCCAGTTATGAAGTAGCCACCTGTTACGAAGTCATGAAGCCACGCAGATACTTTAATAATGAACGAAAATAACAGTGCCTTTTATTTTTTCTTAGCTCATTCCTAACCTGATCTCGGTCCCTTTCCTACCGCACCGCCGTGTTATATATCCATGACCAGTATTTCTCTTCTCATTTCTCATTTGTGTTTCTTACTATTTCTTTTTATATCTACCTAATAGCCTTTGCCCTCGTAACGAAATCTCGTATCCGGTCTAAACTCTGCTGGCCATCTGAACCCTCAACACCACTGCTTACATCAACGCCGATGATCCGGCTACCATCTTCGCCGGCGGCAGAGATTACGTCTCCTACGTTCTCCGGCGCTAGGCCACCTGCCAACACGATTCGTAGTTCCTGGTCCTTCGCTAGCGCTGCTTTTACGTCGACGCCGTCAAGTAACTGCCCCGATCCGGACCCTGAGTCGAATAGGGGCGCGGCGTGATATCCGCGAGCGCCCAGCCCTGGCTCACCGGGCGAGAAGCGCCGTAGTACGGGTACAGGGATCGCGCGTGCCCACTCGATCGGCTCGCGGCCATGAAGCTGTACGACGTCGAGGGAGTAACGTTTCTGCAACTCGAGGATTTCGTCCAGGGGTTGGTTCTGGAACACGCCAACAAGTAGGGGGCGGTTAGGAAGAGTAAGTTTGCGGGATGCTGAGGTGAAGAAGTCGCTTGCGGCATTGCTAGATATGGACGTCGTAGAGGAAGTTGATGAATTGGATCGGGAGAAGTCTTGGACTGTTCTGGAAATAGCCTTCGCAGCGTCGTCGTTTACGGTACGCTTTCGTCCTGGCACGAGGATCATGCCGATTAGGTCCGCGCCGGCTTCAGCGGCAGCTAGCGCACCCTCAGGAGTACGCGTGCCGCAGATCTTGACAAGGAGTGGCTTAGGTTTAGGTTTCTGCTGGGCGGTTACTTGGCCCGCGCAGAGCTGCTGGATGAACTGCGATGCGTCGGGGGCACGCATAATAGCCTCGCCCACTAGGATAGCGTTAACGCCGTCCTTATGGTTGGTAACCACGTCTTCGTGAGTGTTGATACCGCTGAGAGCGCATATGATAGTCTCCTTTGGCACGAGACTGCGTAGTCTGCTAGTAGTGCTGAGGTCAACCTCAAAGGACTCAAGGTTGCGGTTGTTGACGCCGATGGCCTTGGCGCCCAGTTCCACCGCCGTTTTCATCTCCTCTGCGTTCTGGACTTCGACCAGGGGCTCCATTCCCAAGGAAAGAGAATACTTGTATAGGCGCGTGAGTAGCTCTACGTCGAGCATCTTGACAATAAGGAGGACCGTGTCGGCACCAGCGAGTCGTGCCTCTAGGATCTGGTATTCCTCGAATATGAATTCCTTTCGGAGCACCGCAGGCCGGTTGGGCATACTGTCTAATACTTGCCGTACGGCACGGAGATCTTCGATGCTACCCTTGAACCAATCTGGCTCCGTGAGCACGGAGATGACGCTAGCCCCTGCCAGAGCGTACTTCTTCGCCTGCGATGGCGCATCGATTTCAAGGGCAAAGATACCTTTCGAGGGCGAGCCTCGTTTAATCTCGGCCATAAGGGAGACATCGAACGGGGTTTGACGTAGGCGGTCAACAAACGGTATCTGAGGGGGGGCGGCGTTAAGTTCGTACGCAGCCTCAAGATCACTTAAACGTTGTGACGGGATCTTCTTCTGGGCTGCCACTGCCTCCTTTCGACGAGCATATATCTGTTGTAATATGTTATTCTTCTTCGGGGCCGCTGTTGTCATACTCTTCGCGACACCGTTAGCCTGCGACTCTTTTTGTAGCTGCTCATTGTCAGCCCAAGTACCCCCTTGCATACGCAAGAAATTCTTGATCATAACCCGACCATCTGCCGACAGAATACTCTCGGGGTGGAACTGGACGCCTTCGACCGTATACTCCTTGTGACGCACGCCCATTATAACACCTTTTGAGCCATCGTCCTTGGGTATCCAGGAGGTGACCTCAAGGCACTCGGGTAGAGTGACATGTGTGCCCGCAAGGGAGTGATATCTTGTCACAGGAAGACTTTGTGCCATTCCCGCATATACTCCCTTAGAATCGTGGGCCAATGGCGAGGTCTTGCCGTGAAGGATTTCTCCGGCGGACTTTACGTCACCACCGTAGACTTCGAAAATACACTGCCTATATATACCCGTGTTAAGCAATAGACTAGAGATAAAGCTTGTAGTGGAGATTGTTCCAACTCACTGGCCCATACAAACCCCAAATATTGGGATCTTTCCTGCAAAGTGCCTAATAGCATCTCGACTTACTCCAGAGTCGGAGCTAGGGTGACCCGGACCGGGGCTGACGACAAGCTGGGTGGGTTTCTTGGCTATCAACTCGTCGAGAGTGATTTGGTCGTTCCGGTATACGGTAACTTTGGCGCCCTCAAGGACGAGGTATTGATATACATTCCAGGTGAAGGAGTCATAGTTGTCTATGAGGATAAGGTTCGAAGCGGTAGGGATAGGAGGTGACGGGTCGGGATGATGAGGAGAGTGGTCAATGATGTCCAGAGTTGTAGCCATGTTTTTACTTATTCCTTAATTTTTGTTTCTCTTGTTTCTTGATTCCTCTTCTTTGTTCTTTTTTGTCTATGTGATAAAACAAGTCGGAGTGGGATGACTCTTCTACTAGCCCGAGTGGAAATGAGGGTATCTCGATTGATAGAATCACAAATTCACTTTTTGGACAAAATAAGAGACGGCATTAACGTGGAAACGACGATATATCTGGTCAAGAATCCCACTCTACCACTCTACCGGCTCCTCAATGGGACTTTTATGTTGTACATGCAAACAATGTTTGAATTATTTCCGGGCATCGGAGGTATGACAAAGTGGCAGAACTCCTTAGCCCCTCCAAAATATAAGGCTGAGGCTAAAAAGCATATCTTTCTTCTATTAGTTAACTAGTTAACTAACTAACTACCTGTTAGTTAGTTATCGATAACATACTTAATGTACATAGGTCATTGCCACATCCGGTGGGCGGTGGCTTTTTTTTTTAGGTGTAGGTGTAGGTAGGTACCTTTTCGTACACTTATCCAATTAGAACTAGCTTTAATTAGATAGGCAGCGCGTACCTGCGCGCGGTATTGCATGTACCCTCTGGGTGGGTACATGTAACGAGTACATGTAACGGGTACATGCACGGCGGAAGCTTCTGACGCTGAACATTCTTTTTTATATTAGTATCCTGTGGAAAGCTCCAATGAATGAGCAGCAAATCCGACCATTTTGCGATTTTCCGATTTTCAACATTTCTCTTAAACCGCGTCGCAGCGAAAAGCTAACAGCTTCTCGTCCTTCGCTAATTCACATGCATTCAATGCAAAGTTAACCTACCCATTGCCTGCTGATAGCTGCAGCAATGGCAGAGTCACTATCCGATCATGTTTATTTACCTCCTTTGGAGCCCTGCTTGAAGGGCGAAACTATCGTCTTGTAAGTGCAACAACACCATGAATTATAGACAACCACTATATATCAGTTACCCTCATCTGCTAACCGCTAACCTTGTTTCTCGTTGACTTTAGATCGTGGAGGCTACTAGCTTCGGCACTGACAGATCCTTCTGGCCATCGACAGAGTAGTTCTGCCGTCGTCGACTATCTCACCGACCCTCTAGTCCAATCTTTCTTCACCAAACCCGGCTCGGCCTTCGATCCGCGAAGCGACAAGAGCCCTCACAATGCAGCCTTTGTTAAAAAGACTGCTGCCATACAAGTTACTCCCGCCCCTAATGATAAGTATGACATAAATGTCATTAAAGAAGATACCCTTTGGTTGAGCAAGACTGCTCTCATCAACGAGATCGCTGCTCTCCGGGTGGTTGTTATCGAGTTCCAATCACGTCCTCGCAATCAGCTCTTAGGTCCTATCTCTAATCAAGATGTCGCGAGTTTACGCGAAGCTGCCGGCGCCTCAAATGCGCAAACCACCAACATCCTCCCTGGGTTTAATATCGTGAGCACGCTCGACGCGGCCGACATACAGGCAAACTTCGAGAAGCCCGAGAGCAGGAAGCAGCGAATATTCCAGACTTACCTTGAAGAACGTCGCTACTACGCTGCTACAAATGACTACATTTTCACGTTGATGCTGCAAGAAAGCATGCCCGCTTCGCCACGGTCCGAAACGTCAGAGACAATCCGAAAGTCTTACCTCAAAGCATACGGCATGTCTCCCAAACAGCCCCAGAAATCCCCGAACGATACTCGCACCAAGGCCTACCACGCTCTCGTATCTCAATATTTAAATTTACTTCCGGATTCTATTACGCGTTCCCAAACCCCTCTTGACAATGTAGTAGATGATAAAATCTTATTGACAGAGGAGTTCAACGAGCGATGGGTTCATACGTGCCTTACTGAAGCTCTTCACCGCATGGTTATTGTCTTCCAGCTTTTGGATTTGTCAAGCGACGTGTTCGTGTCTGCTCAACTCGCTCAGCAATGGTTTTCGTTAGTTGATACACTGGGCTTTTTAGAACAGCTTCAAGGGGTAAGTCACTCGGACCAGATGTAGGAGTAAAATTACCTCCTTGCTAACATTGTCTCTAGCTTCCAGGAAACATATCAGACTTAGCAGTTCCGCTGCAATGTCTAGTATGTGTTATTTCCCTCTCTATTCTTAATCTTCCTCGGATGATGGGTTTCTTCGAGGGAGATGTGGATTTGAATACGGACGATGAATATCTTGCCTCTTCGAATGTTCTCGAACAAATCCACGACGTACTGGAAGGCTTAATTGACCAAGGCTCATTATATGCCGTTCCGGTTTTATTCGCCTGGATACCAGTGGTACATGCCATGTTTTCATCCTACCAAGAACGTGCAGAGAGACGGGATGCAATTCAAAACGAAAAGGCCGTCGAGAACTATGATTCGGCTACGCAGATGGTACCAACCTTGGGTAGGAGGAACTCTGCGGGGAGTATCACTACGATTGATAAGCGGAGGTATGACGACTTTCTCATTAACAAGAGCTTGGACCGCGATTTCAAACGGGTCCAGGTACTTGCTGTTATGGCGACGGACCGGGCACGAGTATACGATGTTATTGCTGCTATGTCCTCTTGTCTTGGGACCTCAGATAATGCGATATTCCCTGATTCGATCGGTTCTCGCATGAGATGCGCGTTTTTAGACTTGCTCCGTGTTACCTATCCTTTCGTAGGATACAAATCAGAGCCGGTTTACGCTTTAATAGCCGTTCTGTCTGGTGGCCAAGGTTATTGGGATCTCTCACAATCTCGCACTACTTCTGCGGAGCAAGACGTTATTACTCTAGCCTTTAACGACGAGGTCATTCTTGAAAGCTATTTCCACCAGGCGCTAAACCGTTTCCCTTACGAATTTATCCCATTTCTTACCTTGTGCCGAACCCTTTATTCTTCGCATACTAATGACAATAATTGCGAGCTCATTTTGAAGCTCCTTCAAAAAACGCCGACGCTTACATTTACTCTGCCCGATGATTTCAACGATTATCAACTTGCCTACGAGGAGGATAATTCTAATAGCTTTCAGTTTCTAGAGGATTTCCCCCTTCTTGCCCCAGTAGCAAGCCGGAGGCGAATTACGGCAGAAGATGAGCATTTCATAATACCGGCGGGCACCTATGGCCGATTCATTGTGGACGAGGGGAGAATTGTGCAAGTAGAATATGAGCACTCTGCCCTAGCTTTGCTTGGAAAGAGACTGGACGCCAATCTTGTTGCAAGCAAGTATAATTTGGAGCTCGGAGAACTTACCACAGAAGATACCGCAGAGACAGTGTCGCTGCTTGCTACACTCGTCCGTACGGAATGCGTGAGAATTCAAACCTTAGGTGAAAACTCTCCCGAAACTCCAGAAGCTGCACTGGCCATTGTAGGCGAGGCCAGCCGAGCGTTGTCACGAACCAAGGACATCATATCGGTTGTTTGTGACACCCTAGATCTTCTTCTAGATGCCGACCCAGAGGGTAATGTGCTAGCCGCTGTAGCGGCCTGCCTGCAGTTCCTCCATGCTGTTCTACCGATATGTCCAGGCAGAGTCTGGTCGTATATGTCGCGGTGCACAATCCTTGGGAACCAAAGCCAAGGAGGTCGACTTGCCAGGCTAGTTGGGAGCCTTGACTTATCTGATGTTCGGTTGGAGTTTCTGATGTCTGCTGTGCGTCTATTCTCTAGTCTCGTCGACAGCGCTATGAGCAGTTCGGTGCGGCGTAAGACGGGTGCAAAGGCAAATTCCAGGCAAAAGCAAACCCAGGATATATGGTTAGGGGTTTCAGACAAGATAGTGACCCAGATTTCCTTGTCGATTGTACGAGCATCGATGGATATTCTAGAGAGTTCGTCGACATGGAGATTCGCGTCCGATCTGGATCGTATGGTCCTCGTACGTGACGTGGTACCGATTATGGACAAAGTTATCTACTACACATTTAGTATGGACGATATAAATTCGAAGACATTTTTGATGTCTGCTCTAGAGCCGGCCGCTAAGTATGTCTTGGATAGTTTCCTCGCGCCATCGGCTGGAAGTCTTCGTATCCAACCACTTCTCGTTACCCTGGTTGCGGCAACGCAACCCTATGGCTCTACCGTATACGCGAACAGGTCCGAGGCTTTCCGGGCCCAGACAAAAGCGGTACTCGGGCTGGCGAAGAGTCTGGTGCGAGTGGCGAATTTTTTCGACCGGTCCTCGACTACGGTTGAGCACCAACTATTTAAAGCAACGCCATTTGTTGCTCGTGTTTGTGCTTGCCATGACACTTTCAGAGGGCCGGCTGTCGAGCTTCTAGAAGCGTTAGTGATCAGTTCCGGCAAAAGTACAGGGGAACCTCCTTCTTTACTTGGATACCTTGGTCCTCAGACGTCCCGTTCGTTCATCCAACTGTTGTCGACGCTAGACAAGCCTTTTGATCAAGCCCAGGAAGTCAGTGCGATCTGGCGATTCTTTTCGACCATTGTTAGAAACAGGCAACAGTGGATGGCGAATTGTCTTCTTACAGGGAAGACACCACGCGATGCTAAAAATGGGACTGGGAAATCAACAGAGACATCTTCAAGTTCCGTGCTCACATCTGCTCTCGATAGGCTTAGCTCTATATCTGAAATTGAGGAGTCAGAAGTTCTCTCAATTTTAGATTTCATCACCTCGGCCCAAAACTTCTGGCCATGGACCATTTTCACCTTACAGAAGAATACCAGCTTCTTGACGGAGCTCCGAAGGTTCGTACGAGACCTTAAGTCATCGTCCCTTACTTCCAAGTCCAATGTATTACGAGCATGCAACGAAGCACGGATCGCTGCATACGTTGCCGAGATATTCGCTATGCAACTCTTCCACCTTCGGCAGATAGGCCAAGCCGATGCATTCGCCAATGAATTGACACGCGATCTGGACTACTATCTGCGAGACGGTGTGGCTGTCTCCGGCTACAACCGTGGCCTGCAAGTTAATTTCGCCCGGAATTTCAGTAACCAATATCCTGGCTGTTCCCTCGATAACTTCAAGCGGACGTTACTCGAGCCTCGGCCTTTAGGAGTTGGTTTCTACTATGCCTTAAGCTTTGCAGACAAGCTACTTGCGTTCGACTCAGGTTGGGTTGGACCTCGGAATAACGGGTTCAGAAGCGAGATGGAAAAGGCCAACGCTAATCTATCGCTAGTCGACGCCCAAATCGTAGGTTTCCTAGACTTTAGGTCCGAATCGAGCTACCGCTAACCTGTATACAGAGTCTTTATCATGCCTGGGAATTCCTGCTCCTTGAGCTCAGTACCTGTCTTCCAAGTAATGATACTCTAAAAAAGCAGTCTTTACAGGTTGCTCAGCAATGCTTAGAGGCGAATGAAGAGACGCAAAGTCACGACCAGGTCTTTGAGCGCCTTGCCGAATCGCGAGTGAACTTGGCACTTATGCTTGTGCAAAGGGTCGTCGACAGCGCCCCATCCCCGGGCGATATCACTCAGCTTTTGACAGCCTTGTGGGCAACGGTTAGTAGCGTTCAAGAGCCGTATGGATCAGAGAACATTTCGCTATACCGAACGCTTCTTAAGCTATTATATGTCACATTGCGAGCTCAGGTTCGATCACTAACGACGAACGCATCTTCCGCTAAGCATGGCAGTGCCGTATCCGCTGCAACAGTTACTCAGGCCGTTTTAAGCATCATTGACATGATCGTTGCCAAAGGATTCCGAACTTTAGTGTCTTTGGTCCACGACACGCAGCCATCTGTCTTGCCTAACGACTTTGCCCTTCTTAATGCTGTCCTGCAAGCCTGTCTTTGCTTTCCAGGGATGGACCAGAATCAAACGCAGATCCTTAATATCCTAACCGCGCACGACGTCGTGCAGGCGGCAGTATCTCTGTACTCGTGGGCGGACAGGATAGCTGATCAAGGCGATCCTATATATGGAGAGCTATCAATCCTTTTCCTACTAGAATTATCCACGTTGCCTTTGGTAGCAGAACAGTTAGCATGCGACGGTTTACTTAACCATATCACGACGGCCAACTTGGCCAGTTACCTCCGTCGCTCGAACGTGAAACCCTTTGCTGATTCGGTTGGATTACAACGCTGCTATAGTATATGGGCTAAGGGTATTGTTCCTTTACTCCTCAACATCTTGACGGCATTGGGTACTACGATTGCCCCCGAAGTCGCATACGTGCTTAACCAATTCCCCAGTCTCATGCAATCCAGCGTTGATAGGTTTGAGCCCCCTAGCGACAGTCGGAGGCGAGACCGCAACGACCGCGACTATATAACGCTTCTATCGGTGTCTGAGATTCATTCACTGGCTCTAATGACACGCGTGCTAGGAGCCTTGCGTGCAAATAATGCCAGGGATGTTCCGGCAGTAGAGTGGGACTCGGCGGCACTTCTAGAGAGCGTTGAGTTCTGGATAGACCGTCGGAAGCTCCTAAGGGAGAGACTGGTGACCTTGGGGTCGCGCGAGGCGGAGTGGAGGAGTATGCCGCCCTCGGATCGGAACAAGGGTAGAGGGTTCGAGAGCAAGCTCGAGGAAAAGGTTGTAGAGCAGTTGGAGCTCGTGCGAATTGTACTAGGTGAAGGTTTGGAATGAGCATAGCACTAGGTACCTAGGTAGGATAGGCAGATGGTTAGAATCAACGGCGCTTGTTCTTTTGCCTTATTCTGTTGCCTACCTAAGTTAATAATTTACGACGTTTGCGACAGTGCTCTATATGATTCGTACAAGGGACTACTTGTATTATAATTTTCGATATATAAGTGATGGTGTATGATGTTGAGTGTGCTTCCAATTATTTACTACGACATTATATACGTGTAAGTTCATATACGGAGTTGAAATAGCGATATTCAAGGCTCATCTCCAAAGCCGGGGTATCATCCCCAGATGGGAACCCCCTATAGTCCCTATTAATACATCAAGGCTATTCCCAGCCTTGGCTCCAGTGCCAGTGACGATAGGACACCAAACAGACTTTGAAGTCAAGGTCGCCCGACCCAACCTAGCGCTTTTCATATCATTCCATGTAGGACATAGACAACTTATATCTATCTAGTCCTAACCAGCTACATCCCAAAACCTCAAGCTCTGAGCGTAATATACATACAGCCCACTAACCCTCAGAAGGGAAAAACAAGAGCGCTCTCCTCGAAAAGGGTTGATTTATCGGAATCCGCCTCCCTGCTGCTGCTGTTGCGTCATCTGGGCATTGTGCTCTTGGAACCGCTCGCTGAGGCGCTGGGATAAGGCCATGTGCTTTTGGACGCAGCGGGCGACACATCCGGACTCACGACCTGTTAGAGACTTGGAGGTGAAATCATCGATGCAGGACATGAAGCAATGGTCGACTAGGTTGCTAAAGAGCTGTTTAAAGTTGGTTTTAGCAGGTTGACGTATGTATTTATGGAATCCAAGAATTAGATCAACGTACGCCAAAGAAAACTTTCATCTGCTGCTTCTGCATGCGCTGCTCCAGCTCGCGCGTCTCGGATGCCGTTAACCTATAAAAGTTCCAATCATATTAGTTATATGTTTTCTATATTTTCTTTATAGATCTTTCTTTATAGATCTTGTCTCAATTTCAAATCGACTTACCCGTCCATATCGTCTCTATGGTTTGTAAATTGGGTGGTTTGAATAGAAGATTGAAACAACGGGTTCTAACGGTAACAGTTAAGAGGCTTAAATGTAAAACCTGGGAATGACGATTGAAAACTTGCTTCTAGAGCTTCGACAGCTAAAGTCCGGGTTTCCTAACAAGAAATCGTTGTCGCTCGTATTATCGATAACAAACTGTCGGTTTTTCCTTAGGTCCGGGATCTGAGTATTTCTCAATGCTGATTGGTTTAATATACTTGGATACCATACCTAAGGTCTATGTACATTACATAGTAACTATGTAGGTAGTAAATAAAGATCCCTGTTCCAAGCTTCAGCGGGGCAAAGGTAGACCCGCCAGCTTATCGATTAGGAATTTTGCGAACTTGCATATTTTCCTCTTTTTTTATTTTTTTCTACAGCGAACAACCAAAGAAGAACATTCAAACAGCGAACCTAATTCAAACCATTAGATCTATTACAATATAATAAACCGTCACAATGCCCAAGTCAAAGCGTTCCAAAGTCGTTCACCTCACGCAGGTCGACAAGAAGACCCGTAAGAACAAGGAGCGCCTCTTCGAAAATATCCGCGAATGCATCCCCCAATACCAGTACTGCTTCATCTTCGCTGTCGACAACATGCGCAACACATATCTGAAAGACGTGAGGCAGGAGTTATCTGATAGCCGGTATGTCCCCTCTCCCTTAATGTTTAAACCAAATAATATATATAGGTATATATATATATCTATATACAAATATCTAATAACATCATAGTCTCTTCTTCGGCAAAACAAAACTCATGGCCCGCGCCCTCGGCCACAGCCCCGAGGACAGTTACGCCGACAACATCTACAAGCTAACCCCCTATCTCCGCGGCACCGTCGGTCTTATCTTCACCAACCGGTCACCCGCGCAACTACTACCATACCTAGAATCTCTAGCCGGGGAAAAGATCGACTTCGCGCGCGCCGGCGCAGTCGCACCTAGAGACTTCGTCATTCCCCCGGGAACCTTGCACGCGACGGGCGGCGAGGTCCCAGCCGAGCATGATGTCCCCCTAGGACATACCCTAGAGCCCGAGCTGCGACGTCTAGGCATGCCCGTGCGCATGGTTAAGGGACGCGTTGTGCTGGAGGAGGCGCTCGAAGGTGCGCGTAAGGAAGAGGGGTACGTGGTATGTCGGGAAGGCGACGTGTTGGACTCGCGGCAGACGAGGCTGTTGAAGTTATTCAGCGTGTGCATGAGCGAGTTTAAGATCAAAGTCGTCGCGTACTGGAGCGCCGCTACGTCCGAAGTTACGCCCGTAGACCCGGAGGCCATGGACGGCGTCGAGGACGAGGGAAGTGATTAAGGGGAAAACACAGTTAACACAGTCAACACAGTCTGTTGCTGGTACTATATCCATCCACTATTCCTGTAGTTTTCCCCCGTATATATTCTCGTATGTGCATTTACGGCGATACCATGGTTGCTGGCGTTTTTTTGGCAGAGGCAAAAAGAAAGGGGCCGGAAAGGTTTTTAATGATTGATTGAGGTTTTCACTATTTCGCTATGCTCGCATTAGCATTGGCATGTTAGGGCTTATCTAGGTCGAAAGGCATTATATGAGTCGTCATCATCCAAGACGACAGCCGTTAAAAAACTTCTTCGTGACTATCTTACATTACAATTCGATGCTATATCTTACGAGAAACGTGTCCAGCATGAATAAAAAAAAATTATTGCTAATACACGGGATTACACGACTTGACTCATAACTTTTTTTCACTTCCATCCAACGCCTCCTCTTTCCACTTGACAATATATCATCCCCATCCCCGGTCAGTAGGCATACCCGTCGTTTCTTACCTCCGACCTTACCTGAGGAAATAAAAACTACTCGCTATTTATTGTTTGCGACTTAACTAGACCTTGCAATTATTCCCTACGGTCATCATAGAGTACATGTGAGTGTTAAAAAGAAAAACGAATTACCTCGCCAATTTCTGGTATCAATAAGGGTTGCGGCGATCCAGAAGATAAAAGGAACAATCAGACATGAGCCGCTGCTAGATAAGGATGGAGCTAGGATTCCGGGTCGAACTCGAGCCCAACTGGCTGCACGGATTCTGGCGTCTTCTTGCTTCTCGTCTGCTTTCTTTCTTTACCTTTTGACTAGTCGTCGTCTGGTATCAAGTAGCTGTCGTTCATTCGGTAGCTTTCAAAACCATCTTACCCTTGCTTACCCTTGGTGGCTAAAGGCAGAAGGAAAAATCGGGATGTTTTGCATAGATGCAGAAGTACGGAAGACAGAAGATACCCACCAAGACAAACGGCTCTTGTCTCGATAAGATTGATCGGCTCAGTAGCGTCGTAGCTTTCGCGGATCCTCGTACGTGCCTTCGTAGCCCCGTTTCCGACTCTCGTCGTCTCTCGACCGGTCGTAGTCGCGATACTCTCGTCCGCCACGAACAGGTTCGAAGTTAGCGCCGCTTCGGCGGTCGCGGTCGCCGAATCTGCCTCCGTCACGATGTCCGCCTGATCTATCATCATATGAGCGACTGCCGTTGCGCGAGTCATACCCACCACCTGAACCACCTGGTCCTCCTGGTCCTCCTGGACCACTGCGGTCCCGATCACCTCCGCCAAACCCACGGCGTCCACCGAAGTTAGGACCGGCCGGCGCATTAGGAGGTGGGTTGTAGCTGTTCTGAGGACCGAAGCCACGATCACGACCGGAGCCGAAATCCCCCCCACCGCCACCGCCACCTCCACCGCCACTACCTCCTCCTCGGAAACCGCGGTCACGACCACCCCCGAACCCTCCTCCTCCTCCTCCTCCTCTTCCACGGCCCTGGAAACCTCCGCGGAAGCCTTCGCGTCCACCGAAACCGGCCCCAAATCCGGGGCCGCGAGGCTGAGGAGGCGCAGCCTTAGAATATCCACGACCACCCAGGCCACCACCGAAGCGACGAGGTTTCCAGCCTTTAACTGTTCGACCTCTTTCGACGTCTACCTTAATTCGGCGATCTCTAATGCGAATGCCATCGCAACCATCTAGAGCAGCTAGTCACACGTGCGCAACAAGGCGCGTTTGTCAGTAAAGCCTTACCAAATATTTATACCTCGCCTAGACGAAAATGGGGATTAAAAGGGGGAGGGGAGGAGATAGGCAAGCTTGAGGGCCAAATCTCGAGTGAGAGACATGGGTTAAGCAGAACCGTATCCAAGGGAAATATTAATGGTAGTATTACCTCTCATGTCTTTCTCACGTTCAAAAACAACAAAAGCATATCCGCGATGGGGCTTCTTTTTCTTATTCGGCTTCTCGTGGGCATGTGTATCGCTCACGATACGGATCTACAAAGGTGTTAGCATAAGAACAGAAAGATGCAAGGCGGTAAGGGTATAGATTATAACGTACGCGTTCGACGGGACCAAAGCGCCCAAATTCTTTCTCGAGGTCATGCTCGGTAGCATCATAACTCAGTCGCGCGACAATTAAAGTCTTGAACGGGTCGCCACGTATGTTAGGATCATCATTGGGCTTATCTAGAATCATATTATATTAGTATTCTGATGAGTTTATAGAATGAAAATAGAGAAGCACAAACAGTTTAGTGGACCCTCAGTCAACATCCTCTCTTGCTGTGCCTTCTTCTCAAGCTTTTTCCTGTCGCGCATCTGCAACCAGCTCTCGGTAGGTTGGTATCCGTCATTGTCCTTATAAGAAGCAAGGGCAGGGAGATAATTGGCGATGGCGGTAATTTTATGCGTCCTTCGCTGCTCGGGAGGGAAATCGGGAGCAGGCACCCATCGTAAAGGCGGGCGCGGCGCGAAGAGGGCGAGAAGATTTGGAGGAAGCTTGTCTGTCATAGTCGCGTCGACGATCTATAAAACGGGAGCAGGAAAATAACAAATTTACAAGGATGAATAAAATGAGAAAGTTAAATGGAAGATGGCGAAACAAGGAGGGGCTCAAGGATAGACACAGTCTTTCATTGATGGATGAAAGAATAAAAAGAATGAAGTTAATTGTTTTCGCGTCGTTGGGGGAAGTCGAGGAAATTGCTTGAAAGCTCCAATGCTCCATTCAAATTTCGACTTGGCCTAGCTAGGTACGAGAGTACCTACTAATGTTCCTACGAACCTTTCCTACATGTACATACGAATAGTGATGCTAACAATTAAATTTAACCGAGATATTCCCAGACTTATGTACCTAAGGCAGTAACTTAGAGAAGTACTTGCCGAAGTGCTCTTACATGGACCTACATAATTTACCGTCCGTGCATACATAAGGTTAGGTAGGTACATGCAATACACATTAGGTACGTATCTGGTTTAGTGCGCAACACCCTCCCCCAGCAGCGCTTGTGAATTGATTACCTACCTTAGGTACGTACTTTATATATCTTCGTAAAATTTCACAGTTGAATAATAGAAGACGTCGCTGTCGACCTAAATCTCTAGAGGCGCAACAATGACGATCAGGGCATTAGAGAAGGTTTCCGTTGGCCAGGTAATAATAAATATTAATTCTCAATTAGCTACTATTATATTCAGATGAATTAGCTAACACTGTATCAGAATGGCATCGGTGCCTTCATCTTGCAGTGCAGGAAAATAGATGTTCACTATTGCGACTATTCCGGAAGTTCTAGAGGAATGAAGTAAGACCAACCCTATTTGAAGCTTCATAGCTTCATAGCTTCATAATTGAAGGAACCTATTTCTAATTTCATACATTCGTGAAAAGCTCCTTTATCAAATCCCAGCTGGCCAAATTCGCCTCCACTCATCCCCAGATCGAATTCGCCGTTTCTCCTCGACCGCGAAAACACCCCGTGCTTATCGGCCACTATATCAATGGCAAGGAAAAGGCTATTTGCGTCAAGAATATGGATTCGCTTCAGATACTGAAGAAGCTAGAACTACTACGAGACGCGAGCGGCGAGAAAATCAAGAAGGTCAACAAACCGGTTACTAGTATCAGCGAGAGTGTGAGAGGAATATGGAGTCCTTACCACGGCACAGGCATGACGGTATAAATGAGACCTGGAAGGGAGACACTCGGAAACTTGTCACCCTTGTACAACTATATATGGGCAGAGTGTATAACACAGCTAAAGGCACATATACCACGAGCCTAGACCTACAGTCCGAGGCAACATTTATGAATAAAAACATGACGAATTCACCCAAAGATGCTTACGAGGAAACTTTCAAACACAGGGCTAATCCGTTTTTACTACAACTTTGAATTAGATAGTGAGCACAGAGGTCATAGCCTAGGATTTATATCCCATGCATGAACTTCCAACGTCTGATTATCATCATCATCCCTCTCATTAGAGGTAGCTTCCCGCTAATATTCCAAATTTTCCCCCGCCTAAGACTTGCTGTTGATGATGTCCACAACTACAATTTGTTAGCCTAGGTTCAACGGTATAGAAACAAGCGGTAGTCAGTGTGTACTTACATGCGGGCTTAAGACTGGCACCACCGACGAGGAAGCCGTCAATATCCTTCTCCTTGCTGAGGTCCTTGCAGTTCTTCTCGCTGACGCTGCCACCATATAAAATTCTGGTTTCATCGGCAACCTTCTGGCTCACCTCCTTGGCTAGCCAGTCACGGATAGATGCATGTACCTCCTGGGCCTGCTGGGTTGTAGCAACCTTGCCGGTGCCAATAGCCCAGATAGGCTCGTAGGCAATGACGATCTTACTCCAATCCGAGATCTGTGACTTCAAAGCAGCTAGTTGAGCTGCGATGACTTCGAGGGTCTTGCCAGCTTCTCGCTGCTCTAGAGATTCGCCACAGCACCAGATGACGCTGAGGCCATTCTCGGTAGCGTACTTGGTCTTGGAAGCAACAACCTCATCACTCTCAGCTAGGATAGTGCGTCGTTCGGAGTGGCCGAGGATGACCCAGTCGATACCACTATCCTTAAGCTGGTGCACTGAGATCTCGCCGGTAAAGGCACCGTTTGGCTTATCAAAGACGTTCTGCGCAGCAACGCCAATTTCCTTCTTTGCGTGTTCGCGGACAAGGAGGAGGTAGAGGGCCGGCGGAGCTATGACGGTCTCTAGAAATAGGAAGACATGATGAGCAAAGATATGCTCCTGTAATTGGAATAGACGGAGAGAAAGGAACATATTGTTTAAAGAGAGGAAAGAATTGTTAGCTTACCAACAGTGGAATCTAGTTGAGCCTTGTTCAAATTTTCGACAATATCCTTGATGGACGAGATAGTCCCGTTCCTATATTAATTACCAATTCGTATCAGCTCCTATGACCTTGCCTCAGTCCCAAGCCTTCGAGGAATCTTGGTATACATTACGTATATATGGAGGGGTCCTACATCTTGAAGTTGCCGCCGACAAAGAACTTGCGCGCCATGATGGGCAATGGGCAATGGGCAATGGGCAATGAGATAGGTTAAGCTTGAATATGTAGGTAAGATATTTCGAGTAAGGTTCCAGGAAGGAAGAATGTTTAATATGAAGAGTAGAAGTAATTGGAAAATAACGCGGAAGAAGGAGGAGAATCTCTTAAGACAGTTGATACAAGTAAAAACGGGTGATTTCTATGTTTAATTCAATCTCATAGGTACAGCCCACTTTCCGTAGGCGGGGTCTTTACGTACATGTAGTTATATGATGTTAAAGTACCTGAATGTAACCCGCAAGAAGCTTGTGAAAAATAAATAAACCCCGCTAGACGTCACTTAGGTGTAGGTACCTACATGTACGATGGAAATCACTCATCCGCGCTAATCAAGTATCTTATACGCATGTTTATACCATACGACATATGCTTAATCTTGTACTACATACATTTCGCATCCCCAACAGGTCTCTCCCGTCTTTATACAGGTACCGATCTCCTTCATATCAGAAACATGATATTATATAACTCAACATTTCAAGTTGTAAATTAGTTTAACAGGTAACTAACATAATTCTTCTCTCCACCTAAATTCAGTAATGAAAACGCTTCCTTCGCGGCAAACTAAACTCACTGTCAGAACCATCCGTAACGTAAGATTCTTCATATTGTCTCCCGCTATGTCTCGGGTATGATGGCCTCTCTCGGTCAAATGGATCGTCTTCCAAAACTGACCCTTCTTGTATGAGATACTCAAACTCTCTTCTTCGACGGCCATCTACCCGTCGCAATACAGTATCGTAATCCTCTTCATCGTCATCAAGAGATAAGCGATTGAGACGCGATACTTCTTCATCGATATCACCCCGTCGGTCAGAGGTAGATATATGTCTTTTGTATAGGGGAACTGGCGGCCTTGCTCCTGAAATAAAGCGCGGATTAGGCCTTGAGTACCGCGCTTCACGGCGTGCTCGCTGCTGTGCCATCCGCGCATCGTTTCTCCCGCGGATGACGCCCGCGAGGTAAGCATCGTCTGTAGCTCTGTCGACATCAACAGGGGACGTCATCTGGGGCGGGAGAGGTCCCGACATAGGCGGCATCCTAACCCCATTTCCAATGTCAAAATGATTGTTGTAGTTTGTGTGATGTTCGAGTAGGCCCCGGCCAAGTCTATTCGTGTGTCTTCTACTCGAGCTCCGAACCGGTACACGATCCTTATTATGGGCTCGTGCGCGGTTTCTACCCCTATTGAGCGACTCAGAAGAGTAGAAAGTGTCCGGCGTCATTTGACTATCAAACGATCTATCCGACAAACATTCGGAGTAGCTTGAGTCGCTTTCATGCCTGTTGTGCTTTATGCCGTCGGCTTTTTGCTTTCCTCCCCTGCCAGCTGGAGTATTATTCATAGCAGGACGTCTGGTTCCTGTCCCTGGTCCTAACCCGTTGGGACGTGTCGGAACCGTTTGTGGGCGATTCCCATTCGACCCCGATGGTTGCCTACTTTCAACAGGGCCAGGGCCTAATGGAGGTACTCGAGGATTCAAACCATTATGTGGTTGTGATTGTGGTTGTGGTTGTGGTTGTGGTTGTGGTTGCGGCTGTGGTTGCGGCTGTGGCTGTGAGTGCGGATGTGCGATATGATTGTTTTGCGAGAAGAGCACTCTTTTTTTCGCTTCATAGAGAGCAAGGATATCAGCATCTGCTTTGGGAACACGCTTGAAATATGTCGTTAATGAGATCCTCTTGAAAGACCTAGGTTTATTCCCATTTGTTTGTCGATGCGCTCGCCTCCTGGGTACGCCATGATGTCGTCGAGGTTGTGGATGGTTTCCTCCAGCCACGACAACATGCAGATCAATTTCTGCGAGTTGATGGTCTAGTTGTACAAGCACCCAGCGATAGTTCAATGGGTCCGGATTCTGTATCGTGAGCTCTTCTGTCGCCTCGTCGATTTGCCGCTGGAGCGCAGGGCTTAGAGATCTCAACTTGTCGGTAGGTGTGCGAGTCTTCCTATTCAGATATTGAATTCGTCGCTTTATCTCCTCAGTCGACATACTCCGGACCCGAGATCTAATTGCCTTATCCCATGTAGGGAGTTGCAATCGTCCTTCGTCGTCATATCGACTTTTCGCTGGGTATTTCTCAAATCGGAAAAGAATATACTCTGCGAGGTCTTCTCTCATGTCATCTACGGTCATAAGACCACGGCTTACATCCGAAATCTTAACAGAAGGGCCTCTAGTTAGGTCGACCGGGAGTCCTGCTCGGGGCGGGATTGCTTGCTGGGACATAGACTGCGGCTGTCCTACCGGACGGCCGCCGAATCCCGCAGGAGACCCTTGAGCTTTGTGGGGACCATTAAGAGGTAGTGTGCCGTGATTCTCGGCCATCGTAGTGGTAGTTCAGCTGCGTAGGAGCGGTTACTTAAATAGGGGAATGTGCACAAGACAGAATATAGGCGTCTAGTTGGCTCGGAACAAAATACCCTCCGGTTATATATAAATAGAACGCAGCCGGAAGAGTTGAGGTTTAAGATCCATTCCTAAGATGCACAAAAGGGCAATGGATCAAGTCACCCCATGGGGATTCGGTGGGGAGGGTCTTGAACATATAGGTTCCGGATCAAGGGGCTATTACCTAGCCAGCATTTTTTCCAATTGACTATATCGATGCATGATAATATTGTGCACTTCTTCTCATTTTAAAACTACTATCTACCTAGGGATGCTAGGAAGTTGGGCGTCACCGCTGTCCATTTTACAACAACATCCCATTGTCGACATAAGCACTTGGAGCTTTCTTCTTTTCTCACAGGTGTATGTAAGTGTGCCCGGTGATCGCCCGGTTTGTATAGAGCTATGATCGGTATGCAGCCCCTACCATGCAATAGTCGCCCGAGGTGATAGAACGCCGCCGCCCTGAAATTCCGTAACCCAGTAGGTCTATGGTCGATCGATTTCGATCCCTAGAGTAAGTTGTATGTATGCATGATTTTGACACGTAGTCCATTGCACAAGCTTCTTTTACAGGGCGAACTCGATAATGTCAAGGCTGGCAGATTAACAGCCTCCACACCTCTAGTCTTAGTTGCTGTCAGCATGACCTACAGCTTCATGAGGGGTAGAAGCAAGAAATTATTTATATATATGAAATACAAATAAGGCGCCTACGCTTCCCTCCTACAAGTCCGCCTGCTTTTTATCACATGCCATGTCACTCAGCTTTGCATCCTTTTTACGACATCTTGTTTCTATATCATGTCATGTATGTACCACGCCTAATGAAACCTAGATTGCGGGAATTTATTTATGCTACACTTACGCTCGTCTTGCGCGGCTCTGCAGATAGGGTAGCAGTAGTTGCGAACAGTTTCCCCAGGCAACCACTCCATGCCCTTCACATTAAATAAGCCTCGTAATCGTTGGCCCAGAGACCTACATGAACTATATGTAGTTGCCTAGCATTGACTATATTATGTAGATGACATACACCTAGGGCAAACAGTATAGTGTAACGTCAATTCTTTAAGACAGATACCTAAGTTGAACGGAGAAAAATCATGAGAGGGGACGATCTCACCCAAATGAGGTTATACAACAGACTTTGACGCACTCGCTACACTTCCCACCATCACCATTAGTACTACATCTAAAGCAGCAATAAATAATATTTTCTGCTAATTTCCATTTCTTTAGCAATAAAGAGCGCAAAGGGCTGTTGGTTAAGGATACTATTATTAATACTTCACCTTGAGTGTGTATATTTGGTGGCTTAATATTAAGCTACACACTGGAAAATGGATGTATCTTAGTCAATAACACTTGAAAGAAATCACATATGGCTAGCGTTAGGCACGCCACCGGGACACCCAGGAGGAGTTGCCACCTATTCTAGGTAAGAACATGTTTGCTAGTGTTCTAGGCCGGTCCAAATCCTGCTTGTGGCTTTGGGCATCTCTACTTATAGGGGCGTTACTACTATTAGGAAGCTCGGAAGATATAATGTAGCTCTGTCCTCTAAAAAAAATCCATATCGCGAGGTAGGATACTTATATCTTACCCTACTGGACTAGTAGTCACGAGCCAGATACGCTTCCAGTAGTGCATTAACTATTCATACCTATTCAGTCTAAAGTATATTCATATGTAAACCAGGCTAGTGATCCATACGGGCATATATCATCCATCCTAGTATCGGGTTGTTACATCTTACAACAGTCAGAATAGATAAATTAGTTCTTCACTAAGTTTCAACTGGCTTCTGATATCTATAGACACGACTCAAAATCGAAGCTACGATGTGAGAAGCCAGTATGAACAACTAGCCAGGCAGTATTACTGGGGACAATGAGTTAGGGTAAAGTTGCAATACCTTAAGAACATATTTAATGACTGAATTTTGTATAGTATCATGTTATTTAAATATAATCATTCACAACCCTTCATTAATTTTTATGTTTTAGGTGAAAGCTGGGTTGAAATGTGCAAAGTATGGATATAGGGCTAGTTCAAGCGGGAAAAGTTTAACCCTGAAAGGCGGCTAGGCACTTTGGCGGAGTGGTTAACGCGATGCCCTGCTATAATCAATGATAGGAAGGCATTCCCTTCGGGGGCGTGTGTTCGAATCACACAGGTGTCGACTTTTTTATTCGTTTATTTTTTGGTTAAGTTTTCTTCTTCTAGTATTTTTTTCTTTAGCCTTTTATCCTCTTTAAAATACGCTTAGCTACGTGTAGTTATTATATACAAATGTATTGTAATATTATAGAATTTATCCCCTTGAGATGTCGTGCTTTAAGTATAATGTTATCGCTAAAATTATCATGCAATTAATTATTCCATCGCCGTAAGGGACAATTTTAGAATATTTACAACATCAAATCATTTGGGCGATTATCATCGTGTAGGCTTAATACCGACTTTGATTTTATTCCAACATTGTATCATATATCAAGCCTCCAGAGCTTCCTTCAAGACACTTTCGTCTATAAGCATAGCCAGGGAGTCTCGTGAAAACACATCCCGTTTAGCATAGGAAGCCACAAACTTGTCTTCTTCGACTAGCACTTCTAGAATATCAGGCGGCATACGGACATCCCACTTATGAACATGCCAGGCTGCTTTCAGTACCGTGATATTAGTCTTAACAGCCTCTGCGGCTCGAGCAATAATATTTGCAGGATCGCTTTGGAAAACATCATCCGCTTGCTTTAAGGCCTTAAGGTACCTCACTATTTCATGCCTCTTTTTAGGCTCGTTGAGCTTGTCGGTTGTGGTGGCTAGATTGTATATTTCTCGGTACACAGTCTGGTTGTCCCCGAACACAACAGCATCGGGGCCGAGGGTCTCAATTCCTAACTCGACTGATGGCTCCCACATCCCGATGGCGTCGATACTTCCATTTCTAAGCATGGCGGGGAACGTATCGGCAGCACAGGGCTCTTGTAAACACCCCAGTCCATTTACAACCGTATAGTCTACCGGTTCTAGACCTACTGTCGCAAGGTACGTCTGGACAAAGTATTCGGATGAAGTTGTGTTCAGACTCCCAATCCTTTTCCCCTTAAGATCCTCAAGGGTGCGAATCCCAGACTTCCTGTTGGCCACGATACGATAATATACTTCCGCGACAGTGCCAATCATCCGAAGGTTCTTATGAGAACCGAACTGCAGGAGGAGCTGGGTCTCTGAATTCGACCCGAGGTCAACGGTCGAGTCGTTAAATAGACTTGAGATACCACCATTTACAATATCCATATCTCCCTTGAAATAATCCTCTTTAGCGACAAGCTCCGGTGTCCATTCTAAGACTCCAAACGCACTCGCTATTTTCAGGGAACCAACGAGGGGGGCTGTGATAAGAATTGCGCAGTGTAGGATAATGCGTGATTGGCGCATGGCGATACGATTTTAAATGTTCATACATGACCTTCACATGGCTATGGGTGAAAAACAACAAACGGCGATGTTTTATAACATACGGGGGGAATTACTGGAAGCATCGGGCTGTGAAAAGGGGTACAGTAACCATACATAATAGGCTATATATTGGGCTGTTACCGGCATAATAGCCGATATGTTATAAACTTGTAATGTAAGGACTTTGTTATAAAAATTATATAATAATTTGGCATTTTATGAAAGAAATTCGTAAAAATATAAATTTAACCGTATGTAATTTAAATAATTGTTAATTTAAATAAAATAAATGTATAAATTTTAAAATTAATAATTATTTAATTTTAAAAAAATATGAAAATGTAATAATATTTATATATATTATTATATATATAATTAAAATTTATAAAAGTTTAATATTTATATGTGGTTTTATTAATATAATAAATTTTAAATTAATTACTGTAATTTTTTTATTATTATGTATTTTATATGTTTTTTTAAACGTATTATAAAGTTATTTTTAATTTTTTAAACTTAATAATTTTATAAATTTATAATGTTTTTTTTGTTTAAAAGTTTAATAAATTTATTAGTTAAATTTTTTTTATTAATGTATTATATTATAATATGGTTAGTTTTTATTTTTTATTTTATATAATAATAGTTTTTTTATATAACGTAAATTATTAATTAATAGTTTATATAAATTAACGGTTTAACAAAAATATATATAAAATAAGTTTATATATAACCGTGCATTTTATTTATAAAAATCTTATGAAAATTTAGATTTTAAATTTAAATATATAATTAAATTTTAATAATAATAATATTTTTATTTATTTTTATATTATTTTTTTAATTAATTAAAAATATAAAATATAAAAATAAATTTAAAAATATTTAAAAATGTTATAATTTATATTATAATATAACTTATTTTAACTAATTTAAACTAGAAATTTAAAAATGGTTCGGGGGGAAATATTTTTTTTAATTACATAACTTTTTAGTTAATTACACTTTAGCACATTTTTTTAAACCATTTTTTAATTTCTAGTTTAAGGTAATTTTAAACATTTTTTTTTTATTTAGTATAATAATAAACGTTAAAACTTATAATATTATAACGTATGTAATATTATATAAATATGTAAAAAAAACAAAAAAATAGTAAAAGTAAAAGATTAATTTTAAATGATTAAAATATAAAATATTTTAAACGTGGTTATAAGTGGTTATAAATGTAAACGCGTGGGTATAAACGTATAAATATAAGCATATAAATGTAAGCGCGTAAATATAACATTTTAAAGCTATTTAAACGTTAAGGCTTACGATATTACAACGCGATATCGTATAAATATGCAAAAAAAACAAAAAGGTAACGAAAGTAAAAAATTAGTCCCGAGTAATTAAAATAAAAGGTATTTTAAACGTTATTATTACTTATTATATTATTATTAATATAGTTTTATTAAACCTTTAAAATATATATTAAATATGGTTAAAATATTAAATAACAATTAAAACTAAAATTCGAAAAATGTTTTTTTTAAAATTTATAAATATAAACAAATAAATTAAAGGTTTTATGGCGTTTATAACGCCAATAAAAAAGAAACGTTCCTCGAATCTTTAGTTTTAACACATTAAAATAAAATATAATAATATTTTTTTCAATTTTTTTAAATATTAATTTTATTGTTATATAATATATATTAAAATTTAAAAAAGTTTAATTAAAAATTAATAAAGTTATAAATTTTTAAAAATGTTAATTTTTGGTTATATTTTAATTAAACCGTTAATTAATTATTTACGTTATATTATTTTTAACAATTTATTATTAATTTTTTCGATTAATTAATTGTTATTATATTATTATATAATAATGTAATCGGTTTTTTAAATACATGTTTTAATTATTTTAAAAAAATTATAAATTTATGCCGTATTAACGGTAATAATGGTAAATATAATATATTTAAAATTTTATAAATTTTTAATAATAATTGTTTATAATTTAAATAATTATAATATAAATATTTTAATTATAAAAAATATATAATTAATAATTACTTTTTTATTAATTAAATTTAAAACATAATTAACGTTTATTACGCCGTGTAACCCGATTTTATTAAAAACAATATTAAATCGGTAATAAAAAAAGCTTTATTTAAATAATAACCATATTTAATATAAGGCATATTAAAGGTATATATTTTATTATACAATTTTATTAATATTTTTTTATATTATATATATATTTTTTTTACTTTTACCATATTATTTAACAATATTTAAAACAATTATTTATTTTATTTTTTAAATTTATTTTTATTTATTTTTTTAATTAAAATAATTTTTTTTAATTAATATTATAATTATTCTATTATTAATTTTATTTTTTTAATTATAAAATTTTTTTTAAATTTTTTTTAAAAAGGTTTAAAAAAGGTTTTTTAATAAAATTAATATAAATATTATAAATTTTTTTTTAAATATATATAAAAATATATAGTTATAATATTATTTAATAAAACGTTAATAATTATAAAAATAGTTTTTTAATATATTATATAATTAAATATAATTAAAGGTTAAAAAAACTATTTAAAGTTTAAAATTATACAAAAATTATTTATTTAAAAAAATTAATTATATTTAATAAAAATATATAAAATATATTTATTATAATAAAAAGTAAGTTTTTTATATATTAAATATTTTAAATATTTATATAAATTATATTATTAATAAAATATTATATAATAATTTATTTTATTAATAATTTATTAATTAATATTAATTTTATATTTAAAATTTATATAAAATTAAAATTAAAATTTTATAAATTATAAAATTTTTTAAAGTTACTTTTTTTTAATATTATAGTTATAGTAAAAAAAATTTAAAATTATTTTGTTAAAATTTATTTTAATAAATTAAATAATTTTATATTTATTTAAATTTTTATTAAATTTTTTTAAAAAAAAATTAAAAATAATAATAATTTAATTTTATTTAAATTAAAATAAAAAAATAAAAATATTAATTATTTAAAAGCTATATTTTAAATTTATTTTAAATATTTATAATTATTTAAAAA